CGGGCGGGGCGAGGCCTGGTTTGCGGAGCGGATGCCAGGGCCTGGAGCGTGCAGCCTGCCAGGTGGGGGGCTTGAGCCTCCTACCACACCCCAGCCCTGGCTCTCACAGGGCCACCCTCAGAGGCCGGAGGTGAGGCAGGTGCTGGGAACCGCCTCCCCATCCTGGGTCCCCAGCCCCCCCTCACAGCCTTGGCCACTGTGTAGATGACTCCAGAATCCGAAAGCTTCCCCACCCACCACCCCAGACCTCAGTCCACACCCTCCCCCTACAGCTGGCTGCCCATGGCCTCAGATGGGCCACCTCCTGCCACTCGCTCTGCCTCAACTTCTCGCCTCCTGAGTCTCACTCCTCTACCCGGAGGCAAGGACTCCACCTTCAGCATCTCCGGCTTTTGCCAGGCTCTCCAGGGACGGGGAGCTCACTACCTGACATCACGCCTCCCTCCATGGTCTGAGTACAAGGTCCTTCCACACCTGAGCTTCCCTGTGACACCCCCTCCACACACATGCACGCACAAACACGCGCACATGCACACACACACATACACACACGCCCCCCACATACACACATACGCACGCACGCACACACGCACGCACACACGCACACATACATACACACACCGGGCGCAGTTCGGGCTTCTGCGGCCCATCCCTCCCCCACAGGAAAGGTCTAGGGTCAATTGCCCCCTCTCTGCCCATCCATTTCGCCCCATGCTAAACCCACGCCCCGGTGAGGCGGCCGCCCAGGCCCCCAGACCTACCCAGGACGTCGGCGGACTTCTTCCGCTCCACGATCTGGATGTCTCGGGCGCCAGCCGGGATGTGGGTCACCAGGGAGTAGCCTGGGGGAGAGTAGGCGGCGCTGGGCGGCGGGTCTGGCCACGGCCACCGCCTCTCAATTGGAAAGGCAACCAGAGCCTCGAACCTGCAACCGAGGTGCACGCCCAGGACCGGGAATCAAACCCGCACCCTTCAGTCCTCGGGCTGATGCTCTAACCACTGAACACCCAGCCAAGGCAGCACTGGCTTTTTTGGGGGGAGGGGCAGCGGTAGTGTTGGCCAATTCCCGTGGTGTAAACACTCCCATGGGGCCGCTGGCTGCTCCCCGTGTGATGCCACTAGGCACATCCCTTGCTGCTGCGGTAGCGCCACCGGACAGATGCATGTCCCACAGGCAGGCGATCGGGAAATGCGGCTCATTCATTTGAACGTGGGCCATAGACGTTCATTGTAAATCAGCGCCAGCTCCCGAGGTCCCTGAGCACGGCGGCCTCGCATGCAGGGCCTCACGGTGATGAGCGCCCACACATTCGCCAGGGAACAGGGTCGGCCGGTGTGGGGACCAGACCCCGCAGCGAGGCCACTGCGTTCAGGCCCAGCCGCCATCCCGGCTGCGTGACCAGAGGCTGCTTCACCCTCTGTCTCCACGTTTGCCTCGCGGAGCTGGTGTGAGGTGCACGGGGCGCACCCCGGAGTTAGTGGGGGTTGTTTGAGGGACAGCCCCAGCCCCCGACGCTGAGAGTTCTGTGAGGCATGAACCGCATCTATGTAACCTTCCCTCAGCCTCCGCGTCTGGCGCACAGTAGGTGCTCAGAAGGGGACCATCTGGCACACAGTAGGTGCTCAGAAGGGGACCATCTGGCACACAGTAGGTGCTCAGAAGGGGACCATCTGGCACACAGTAGGTGCTCAGAAGGGGACCATCTGGCACACAGTAGGTGCTCAGAAGGGGACCATCTGGCACACAGTAGGTGCTCAGAAGGGGACCATCTGGCACACAGTAGGTGCTCAGAAGGGGACCATCTGGCACACAGTAGGTGCTCAGAAGGGGACCATCTGGCACACAGTAGGTGCTCAGAAGGGGACCATCTGGCACACAGTAGGTGCTCAGAAGGGGACCATCTGGCACACAGTAGGTGCTCAGAAGGGGACCATCTGGCACACAGTAGGTGCTCAGAAGGGGACCATCTGGCACACAGTAGGTGCTCAGAAGGGGACCATCTGGCACACAGTAGGTGCTCAGAAGGGGACCATCTGGCACACAGTAGGTGCTCAGAAGGGGACCATCTGGCACACAGTAGGTGCTCAGAAGGGGACCATCTGGCACACAGTAGGTGCTCAGAAGGGGACCATCTGGCACACAGTAGGTGCTCAGAAGGGGACCATCTGGCACACAGTAGGTGCTCAGAAGGGGACCATCTGGCACACAGTAGGTGCTCAGAAGGGGACCATCTGGCACACAGTAGGTGCTCAGAAGGGGACCATCTGGCACACAGTAGGTGCTCAGAAGGGGACCATCTGGCACACAGTAGGGGCTCAGAAGGGGACCATCTGGCACACAGTAGGGGCTCAGAAAGGGACACAGTGACTGAAGGCTGGTCTGCGTCTCCCTGAAAGGACCTGGTGGAAGGCCCTGCAGGCAGGTGTGTGACGGGCAGGGAGTAATCCCAGGGGCCTTCCTCAAACCCCACCTCCATAGTGAGGCCTCTGCCCAGCCCGCTCACAATCCGTAACAAATACACCCCCACCCTCGGACACATGGACTCTGCAGAATGGGGCGCCCCAGCAGCTGTGAGCCCAAACTCAGCTCTGTCAGCCGTGAGGGTGGGACTCGTGCCTTGGTTTCCCCGTAAGTGCGACATTCACACCTCCCCGCACGGCTGCAAACGCCAAGCGTGGCCCAAGCCAAGCGTGCACTGAGCACGGTTCTCAGAGCTGCTCCTCATTCCCAGCCCGCGGGGGCCTCCCAGAGCACCGCACCCACCTGGGCCCGGGGGGAGGATCAGGTGGCCCCCGTGGGGGGGAGGGGGGGGACTTGCGTGGTGCCACTCAGCGGGGTGGAGATGGGCTCCCCGTGCCCGGAGGTGGGAGCCCCACGCTCTTACCGAGGTTGGCGTTCCCCTTGCGGTAGGTGCCCGTCACGTGGGTGCAGCTGCTCCCGTCGCCCTGGCAGACGCCGCACTTGTCCAGCGTGTGGGTGGAGAAGAGCACCCCGTCACAGCCGATGGGCTGCGGGAGGAGAGGCGGAGAGCCCCGCTGGG